AGTTTGAGGTTGCTGTGAGCTAGGCTGATGCCACGGCACTCTAGCCAGGGCAAGAGAGCCAGACTGTGTCTCAAAAAAAAAAAAGAAAAATTGGGTTAGGAAACAAAACAGAATGAGATATTTTTAACCAAACAAGAAGGTGATGAAAATTAAGTGGGAAAATTTGATATTCCTCACGGGTAACATCTAAAAAGGAACCATCACAGTGTCCTTCTACACAGGTCAGCCAAAAGGCAAAAATCAGTGTTTCTTTTATAAGTTCCCATTTACCTGATGATCCTCTGGGCAGCGTACTGATGGAGCGAGCGGAACTGTGCTGACATGTTTGCTAACGCTGCCAGACAGTTGGTGTGAAGATACTTGTCCTGTCAGAAGACAAGTTAAAACATACTTCAAGTCTTCTCTGTATTTTAAGCAAGGCTAACTAGAAGCAAACGTAAACTAAATTGTCATTCATTTTAATAAGTTCAAGCCCACAATCCCTTTTCTCTCATTCCCAAATCCACGAAGCACGGAAAATTCAAAGTTTTTTTGTTTTTTTTTTTACAACTTATTTGGAAGCAACACAAAAAAATTACGATGTTACTGATGGTCTCTGTTATTCCCACCATGCTGTATATTAGACTATCTTGTGCTACGGAAATATTCACATTTAATTACAGTATGCTGCTTCGGACCCTAATGGTTACGCATAGTATAGTATATAAACTATAATTATCTTTCTCAAATCAAAAAAATTCTCCATTCTAAAACATATCTGGCTCCTAGGGTTTCAGATAAAAAATACAGATATGTATCTATATTAGCCCTACAGAAGGAAATAACTGAAAACAATTCAGTAAACTTGACCATTTCTCTTAGCTATGAATTCTGTACATTGCTTCTCTTTGACAATAACATTTCTATTGGCCAGAACTGAAATTTATTCCCAGGTACTGTGAATAGAATCCAGTAGAATTTTTTCCTACTCTTTAAAGCAGTCTCTCTCTTCTACTTTTCTTTCTCATTTGAACTCATATTTTCCTATGCTCATACCTTGTTATACTTGGTTGTTTGCTGCTTTTAAAAGGCAAATCAGTGTTATTGGTCTGGCAAAGATATACGATAGCTTTTATCTTAATGTTCCACATTGCTTGTTTTCTATTTCATGTAAAGTAATTCTGATCATACAATCCATTAAATATCAAGAACACATATTCCATTTCACTAGGATCATGAAATACAGTGACTATCTGCCCATCTGTGTTTTTCCACTGTACTTCATGAGAATTTTTGCACCCTAAAAATTGGGATTGCTTTAAACTACAGTCTTAATTGTACTGTATACAAGAAGATAGAAAAATAGCTATGAAATACTTACTCTCGTCCTTGTCATGTTGTACTGAATGGTTCTGATTACGACCAGTATCAGCAGACTCCCCAAGGAAATTTCAGTTAAAGCTCGTTCTGAATACCAAGTAATATTTTTTAATATCTGTAATGGGGAAGAAAAGTTTAAGTAAGAATGATTGCTTTAACGAAAAAGGAATTACTCCACGTCCACAATTTCTGATAAGCCATGACCTTGCTCTGAAGATGAGTTAAGCACTACAGAGAGAGGCTAAGAGTGTGATTTGAGCCTGGATCTTCCAGAAGAGACGTGCCAGCGTTCTGCTATGGCTATGCAGAGCAGGCAGCGCTGCTGCACACCTGAGCTGGTTTCCAAATCAAGTGGAGACATTTTCACAATAAATTTGTAACATGGCCATGAGAGAGAGAGAGAGGAGAGAGAGGAGACGAGACACAAAAACTGGGTAGCACAGCAGCCAAACTGGAGCCGCCACAAAGAAGGAGGTAAAATGCAAAAACAAAACAAAAACCAAATAAAACCAACAAGTTCAGCTGAACACTAAAACTCCCTAATGTTTCCTTCCATTAAGGTTAGTCCTGATGTCCTTTCTCCTTGAGAGTCTATGTGCCATATTCTTCTCTATCTATGCACAAAAAAGGAAGAGACCTGTGGGCTAATTCTTTTTTTTTTTTTTTTTGGAGGGGAGGTGGTATATATAAGTGATTTATTTGGAAGATAAGCCAGGAAGCAGGAATAAGGGAGTAGGGAGAGCAGGATAGGAAAGGAGGAAAAGCCTCTGCAAAGGTGTGCCATCAAGGTCACCACCATGAACAAAGGGGACTCAAGTCCAATGAGACCTCTGGGAACCATCCTGAGTGCCCCACAAAATTATCTACTGAAGGACCAGAGGCTGGGGCACTTATCCACTGGCTTCTGACCCTCCTGGGTGAGGGCTGTTAACTGAAGCATCTTCCTTGTACTGTGCTGCACTTGCCTGGGAACCTAGCAGGCTCCTGGGCCTTCAGAGAAGACCCTGAGGGGAAGGCAGAAAAGAGAGGTGCCCTTTTCAGGTGGGAAGCTACCAGGAGGAGTCTGAACTTCCATGGAATGCTCACCGTAGCTGCTGCTGAAATCAAAGCAGGGCAAGAGGATGTGATTGGGACACGAAAAGCGTCTGGAATGCCCGGCTTCTCCATTCCCTGACCTCCTCTTTTCCAATGATTCCGTCCTCCAAACTACTTCAACTACTCTCTCCCTTGATCAGAGCTTAGCCCTTGTCATTACCAATAAATGTCACTAGTAACAGCCTAAGCTTGATTTCACCCTCCAACTACTGCCTCCTACCTTTCCAGCTGGGTCCCTCTTACTGGGACTCCAACAATCCTTAAGACCTCACCTGGACATACAGGGCTTCTATCTCACTATCTTTTCACTGTTTTTCACCCTCCTGATCCAGCTTAAATCCAACGGTCAATCATCATACTCACTCCCTTGTTTATATGCTCAACTCCCTCTTTCTTTCTCCCTCAGCAGAACCCCAACCTTGGTTACATCCTATTCCACACCTATTCAGTGCCTGCACATGAGGCTGGATGTGCTTTAGATTCGAACAGGTCCTGCCACTTACAAGCTGTGAAACCTTGGGCACATTACTCAACCCTGCTGAATCTCAGTTTCCTTAGCTATGCCGAGTGGTCTCAATTAAAATTCCAAACAACTAGTCTCAAGTTGGCATTTAGGGCTGCCAAGAAATCATGCATTTCCTTAGTCCCTTCACTCTCCCACCATCACAGATAACAATTTCCTATCTTCTTTTCTCATTTCTTTATAAACGCCACAACATCCTCACAATCAGCCGATGACCTGGCTTCCAACTTCCATCAGGGAAGAGAAGCACTCAGAAGAGAACTTTCACTTCCAAGAGCCCATCTACCGCCTCATGTCCATCCCACCACCAGGTGTGACTGTCCATGGTCCTAGCCAAGGTGAACCTCTCTCTCTTTGTGCCCTAAGTGCCATCCTCCATCCTCGTCAAGAACATGGTTCTGGCAGATTTTCCACTTTCTATTTTCTGCATCATTGTTTTTCTCCTTCTAAACGATGGCATATCCATTAGCCACCTCTCACTCCTCTTTTTTTCAAATGTGAAATTTAAATGTCTCCACAAGGAAAGATTAAACTCCAGCATCGAATGTATTAATCTATGTAAAGTCCACAAAACTGTGCCTGAAATATAGTAAGCATTATACATGTTAGCTCTTACTATTACATTTATTGAGTGCTTACATGTGTAATACATTATACTACATTACGATTTACATATATTATATTTAATCCTTACAATAACTCTGTGATGTAGATGCTATTTTTATCCTAATTTAACAGCTGAGGAAATTAGGACTCAGCAAGATCAAGTAATGGAACCAATGTCTCCCAGCTTATAGGAGACAGGATCTGTTCGGACCTGCTCTCTTCTAAAGCGCATACTCTTAAGCACTGTGCAAAGGATTCTTAGCCACTAGCGCACAGAAAAATCACCATCGATGCTTGGGAAAAACGCAGATTTGGGATCTCACTCCTGCCCTATGGAATCAGAATCTTCAGAGGGCGGAGGCTGGAATTCTGCTTTTTAAAAATACTCACCCCAGGTTATTTTGATGTGAGTGATCAACTATATTTGAGAAACTCCTTTATATATCTTTTACTACATATACAGAAAACAAATGAGAAGAATAAAGCAAACTGTTAACAGTGGATATTTTAGGAGAAAGAAGCAGTAAGGAAAATTAAATTTGTGATTTGAAAGACCAGATTGAGAAGTTCTGTACAGAAGCTATAGAGAAAAGTGGAGATCTAATATCCACTTAAGAGTTCCAGAAGGAACAGACTAAAAGAAAAACAGAAAAATTTGTCATATGAGAAAATTTCTGAGAGGAAAAAAATTTCAACATTGCAAGCAGAAATACTGAAAAACAATCAAAACATTCTGGTAAGATTTATGAATTCACAGTATATGAGAAAATTCTATTGGCTTCCAGACAGAAGAAACATATTATCACCAAAGGAAAGAGAAGCAGACTCACATTAGAGTTCTCTTCTTGAACACTATACATATGAAGGAAAATAAAACATTGTCTACAGATTTTTGAGGAAATTGATTATGATTCTAGAATTCTACACCTAGAGAAACTATCATACAAGTATGTGGAAAAATAAAGACTTAGGTATCCAAAACACAGCATGATCCATCCACACACCATTTCTGGGAAAAAAACAACCACCACTTGGCCGGGCGCGGTGGCTCACGCCTGTAATCCTAGCACTCTGGGAGGCCGAGGCGGGCAGATTGTTTGAGCTCAGGAGTTCGAGACCAGCCTGA